CAAGGGGACACAACACTCCACTCTTCCGTGAGCCCTTTCGTGGCTCTGTCCCCGTGTCCCCTGCGTACACTGTCACTGTGCCTATCTCGGTGGGCTTGCAGACATCTGTCACCTGTCTGTCACATCCCCTAGGTTGTCAGCAGCGTGGTCGAATGCAGACACTGTGCCTTGTGTCTTTGCATTCCCAGGGCCCTGCATCCACCTGGTGCCCACCACCCCTGTGCCCAATGAGGCCCAGCTCTGGGGCTCCTGGATAGGCTTAGGGTGGTGTCGTCCCAGCTGCCCTTTCCTCTTCTACCCGACCCAAGTCGGTACAGTAGCTGCCCGGGAAATGTAAGTTGAACAAATGAATCCAAGTGTCTGCCTGCCTGTGAGAAGGGTCCCGGGACAACCCTTACCGAGTGGCCTGCGCAGAGCTTCCCTGCCCTTGACCAGCCAAGGCCCCTGTGGCCCCCACTCGGGCTTCCCCTCAGGGAGGCTGAAGTCACCAGAGGGCCCAAGGGCTTCCTGCAGTGCAGGGAAAGAGGAACCTCCCTCACAAGGCTCCCCAGCAGCCTCCGCATGGGAGGGACCCCACTTCCAAAGGGCAGGGGACTCAGCACCTTTCTCAGATCATGAAGCTCAGGTGCTCCCCTGACAGTGTGGCTGTGGGCCGGAGGCAGCCTGGCCCGAGTGGCGCTGGGAGTGGCCAGGGGCCTGCAGAGCAGGTTGGAGCTGAGGTACACAGACCTCCTGCTCAGGCCAGGGAGGGGACCCCGTGGTCTTTCTCCTCTCTCACATGGACTCTGTAACGAGCCTCCCAGTATCACCCTCTTTCCAACTCTAGGAGGCTTCTGGTGGTCACAGCAGTGTGTCCAAGAGAATTAACTTCCTGAATGCTTAATGAGAGACTGGGGAGCAGACGTGTGTGTGTGTGTGTGTGTGCGTGTGTGTGTGTGTGCGCGTGTGCACACGTGTGCATGTGCATGGTGTGTGTGTGTGCGTTTGTGTGGTGCAGAAGCAGCGGCATCTTTCTTGGTCTTTGGAACGATTTGTGACTGTCCTGCAGATTTCCGTGTTCAGCCTCTCTGTCTTCAGGAGCTGTGTCCACTCCTCCCCGGGCCCTCACCTCCAACCTCCTGAGTCCCTGGCCGGGACCCGGACAGGGCTTTCCTGAGCCGCTTTCCTCACGCTTAGCACTCACGCCTGCAGGGCACAGCCGTGACCCGGGCCGAGGCAGGCACCTTCTCCCAGAAGTCACTCTATGGGCAACAAGTACCCCCTAGGCCGGCCGGAGGGAAGCCCAGACCGCTGCAGTTCTTCCTTGCTTCCTCCACATCTAAGCTATGAAATGGTCCACGGTGCGACCGATCATTCCTCAGGTTATCCACACGTGGTCTAAATGAGATCGCGCGGCCCCTCGCTACACTTGGAAGTCCTGCCTTACCCGACTCCACCACAAAGCCAGCTTTGCAGTCGCATCCAGCCAGCTCCCTCTGCGCCCGGCCCTCTCCCCACTGCCCTGCCTCACCTCCCCCCAACCCCCGTACCAGTAGTGGTGAACCACGGGCCATTTGTATCACTGAAATCTCTCAAAGGTTCGCCATGGCGGCCTACACGATGTCCCTTCTTCTCTCTTCCTTGAAATCCAACTCGCTTTTCAAGATCTCATTTCAAACCTGGACCTCACCGTGGGCTTCTCTGGGCTTCCACAGCAGACGGCAGTATTTTCCAATTAGCAGCATACAATTTTGCATTTAATTGCACTCCATTTGTTTCATATTTGCAAACTCTGTCTTCCCACTGAGTTGTTAAGCAGCACGAGGGCAGGACACGAGCACCGTCTCCCTCCATCCCTCGCAGCACCTCGTACTTGCTGAGCTGGAGCAGCCTTGCTTTGCACATTCTCCCTCCCTCTTAATGCAAACTGACTTTCACCCCTCAGCCCGCAGTCAGGTTCTCCCCTCCAGTCCTCAGGGATTGGACCCAAAGAACGTGACCCAACCTTGGATTTTAGAGCTCTTGCTCACGGCAAGCCCACAGGAGGGTCAGGGTGAGCGCAGATCGGCTCGTCAGGGGCTGTGGTAGCAACACCAGTGAGAGACGGCGGGCGCTGATAGAGATGGAGAGACAGACGGAGAGACTGGATGGGTTCAGGAGATAACAGAAAGTAGACAGGGTCCATCTGTCCAGTCCTTATTGTTTCCAAAGCACGCTTGCATCTCTCAGCTCCTCTGACCCCTAACCACTTGTGCAGTATACTGAGGGGCGAATTATGTGGGTGTAAGAGGTGACAAATAAGGCCAGGAGGGACAGCTGGCCGCCCAGGTCCACACAGCTGCTTGGGGCTGGGTCGGGGGTCCCATCTGATCCTAGGATGCTGCAGCCGGGGGCCTTCCAGCCCCTTGTCCCCGGGACCCACGCTGCCACGGAGGAGCAGAGTGCTGAGCTGAAGAGCCGGACGGGGCTATTTACACAGTCCTCCTTGATTTGCTGTAACCTGTAATTATTTTGCTGGATTTTTTCCACGCTCCATTTGTGTTTTACCCTCCAGCTGACAGGTCACTGAAGAAGCAACTCAGGAGATGAGCGGGCACCAGAGGAGCTGTGTGTGTCCTGGAGCAAAGTGAGGGGGTCCCTGCGCTCCCCACTCCATGCCTGCTCTGGCTTGAAACCCACTAACAGGGCCCAGAACCTCTAGCACCCTAACCTCGTTCTACCACGCAGCCATTTAGCTCCTGTCAAGGCACCGCCTTTCAGGGAGAAGAAAAAGGAATGCATACCGCAGGGACAGGTGGATAATCGCCTGCGTGGGGCAGGACCCTAAGACCGCGCCTGTCTGGCTGGCCGGTGTTCCACTCGCCATGTCCCCGAAACGGGCTGGGCTGTCCCGGTGACAACACACTCCTGGGCCAAAATCTGAGCCGGCCTCCCACGGGCCCCCTCTTGCCTGGGCCTGACATGGGTTCCCTCTGCATCCTAATACAGTCTTATTCTCTGAATAAGAGTCCTGCGAAGTCAGCTATGAGAAAACCCTCCTCTGTGGTGTCTGATTGTCCTCAATACCTTACCACCGTTGCCCGTCTCAGCAATGACCCTACCAAGCCAGGTGAGCCAGAAAACTTTGTCCTCAGTGTTTCTCTTCAGTGATTTTCCATCCACTGACCCCAGCGCACACAAGCGCGCGTGCGCACACGCACACACACGCACACACGCACACTTTTTTGCTGTTGTCACAGCTGAGCGCAGTCTCTCCCCCACCACAGGACCCCATTGCAATGGACCCTATTCCCATCACCACGACCCTCTCAAAGAAAGTCTGCCTTCTTGGGTGATTGTTTTTTGTCCTTAATAGAGATGACCACTCACTACACAAAGCTCTGCGGAGACTTCTGCCCGGGGTCCGAGCCTATCAGGTCCCTCTGAGGAGGTCAGGGCTGCCCCCAGCTCTGTACCCTCCACGCCAATGCAGCTGTTACAACCCAGACCCCAGACAAGGTTTTGTTGTGTCTGAGGGGCCACCTGGGTGTGGAAGACAGACACTGAGAAGACCCTGCACTCACCCTCGCCCTCGTTGTCCTCTGGCCTCAGCACCACCCCATCCAGCCTCCTGCCCTCCCTGTGGAACAGCGAGGCCTCTGCAGGTGGACTTGGTTTGGTTTTGTCTTTTAGGATGACAGGGGCACACAAGGGAGCTGAGACGACCTGAGGAGAGCCCACACTTTAGGACAGTCACCTGTGCCTTAAAAGGCTCTGCTCTGAGATGTGTGTCACCAGGCAGCGTCCTTGTTGTGCCATTGCTAGGGTGCTACAATGAAGACAGCTACAATGTCCCCGGGCACTGTGATCTTGCCATACTACAGCCATACCTGTGACCTGTCCTGGTTGTCATGTGGAACAAGACTGTTCTCAGTTTCGATGGCCTGTGAAAAGCGAAGCTGGGACGAAGTTGGAAACAGCGTCTGTCCTCTCATGACAAGCCTATAGCCGGGAACATGGACACAGTTAATTTCCCAACCCTGTTATCCCGCCATACTGCCCTTGCAGGTCATTCACAGTGGAAGCTTAGGGACACAAAACTTGTGGCGAAGGTGTGGGGGATCGGAACCCTAACCTCACTGAAGCCGTTTCCAGCATTGCAGCCCCTTGGGGCAGAGTTAAGGAGCGGTCTCCATCAGAGGAGCTGCGCGGTCAAGCCTTGGAAAGACTTGCCCAAGAAAAGTCTTTAGAAGTCTGCAGAGTGGGGAGCTTTTTTCTGGAGGCAGCCCCCAGGCTTTCGGATTTATACTAGGTCAAAAAAATAAATAAGAAGCATAAACAAATACTGAACTCCAGTTAGTGCTATGACGCAGGAGTGTACGGAAACCTGCAACTTACTTTGCAGTGTGTCAAAAAATGTAAGAAAAGTCTGGAGGATGGACGGATGGACAGACACACGATGAAGTAAAGGTGGTAAAGTATGAGTTACAGAGCCTGGGTGGTGGGCACATGGGTGTTCCCGGTGCAGTTCTTTAAATTCCCCCGAATGTTTCCCTTTCTCACAGGAACACGTTGAGGGAAACAAATCCCACACCCACCTCTCGCTGTGCAGCACCCTGGCTGGCCAGGTTCAGTCCTAAGCACCGAGTTCTTTCCCATCTCCCACAGGAAGGGGTCTGAACCAGACACTTGACGATCCAGAGTAACAAGCAGGCAGTCCTTGCTTCTCAGACATTCAGGATATTCGGGACCAAAAAGAGCCCTGAAATCCAAGTCAGTGAAGACGGTGAGTTCTACATGTTCTGCCCCACGGATGAGGAACAGACCTGCACACTTCCTACAAGCACACATTGTCCGCACGCCTTTCGTGTCTGACCTTGACGCAGGGGAAGGCCCACGACAGTAAAAAGAGAAGCGGGCAGTAAGGGAAGGCGACCCAGGAACACCTGGCAGGTCAGAGAGGAGCTCAGCATGGAGGGTCACACCGGGTCCCTGCAGCACTGTCGAAGAACACGAAGGGCTCTTTTTTAAAAGTGGTTTTATTTCAATCGATACATATGATTGCACATCTTTGTGGGTAGCATGTGACGTCTCCACATGTCTTTACCATGTGTGAGGAACAGAGCAGAGGAATTTATCATTTCTTTGTACTGGGAACACTGAAAATCTTCTGTACTAGCTGCTTTGAAATATACAATCAATTGGTTTTAATCATTGTTAATTCACTGTGCAGGAGAACCCTAGAGGTTATTTATTCCACCCAACTGCACCCCTGTAACCATTAACCATCTTGGGTCCACCTCATCGTTCCCTGCAACGGCTCCTTTGTGGTGCTGGGAAGAGTAGTGAAAAGTCCTGTGTCCTAAGCACCAAGCCAGTCACAACCCGCCACTGTGCATCAATTTAAAGTAGTCTCTGTTCTCTCTGGAGCTTACTCTCTTTCGCTAGGGTAACCAAACTATGGCCCGGAGACCAAATTTTGCCTGGGGCTCATTTTTATGTGGTCTTTGTGTTTAAAAAAAGGGGGGATTGTATTTTGAAATGGATGGAAAAAATCAAAAGAAGTATAACATTTCGTGGCGTGTGAACGTTACTATAATTCTAATTTCTGTGTCCTGACACAGTTTATTGGAACGTAGCCACGCTGTGTGCAGATCGTCCAGCACTCTACCGAAAAGGTCGGCTAACTTGGTGTGGCCAGCTTCACCCACAGCTTCATGGCTCCACCTGCCCCATTTTGCAGAGTTGCTGCGGGAATTAGTGAGATTTTAGCTAAGTAAACTGGAAGGTTCCATAACGTGCAAGGGGTCTGGCCTTGATATCACTCTTCTCGGTACCATCCTTGCAAAGAAGGGAGCACCTGGAAGGAATGTCTTCTATAACAGACAGAGTTACAGGAGTTACACATAACTAACGTTAACAGAAGGAGACGAGAGGGCATGCGGAAATAAATTCCTCTATCTTATCCACGGCGAAGCCTGAGATCCACGGGCCTGCAAACTTGGGGATGCACAGTCCTGTCTGGGAAGAGCAGAGGGGAGGAATAAGAATTCTCTCGGGAATTTAGTGAACCAGTTGCTAAACACACGATTATTAAAAAGTAAATGACATAATCTTAAAATTCAATAAATTGTACCAAACCAAAGGTAATAAAACCTCAAGTTCCATCACTTCCTATTTCTTTAACTATATTTTATTATATTCTGTGACCTTACAGTTGTCTATGTTTGTATGGTTAAACTACCGTATAGTGTTGTGCTGCTGTGTCTCTCTTCCTGGCTCTGGATCATCGACGTCGCTGCTGGCACCTTGGAATTTGTCATGGCAGTAGTATCTGTACCTTGGAGAATGGCAGACCCTGCAAACAGATGTATTTCCCGCTTCACAACTGGTTGTTAAACCCTTGCAGCGTACCACCGGGACCAAGGTTCCCATTTATAGGAGATTCATAAGGGGAAAAGTGGGGGCATTAGCGCTTCCTTCCCTGAGACACGGTACTCGGCACCTGCAATTCAAAGGATAGGATTATTTGGCTCACAGTTCCCAGCGAGTTCAGTCCATGGTTGGCTGACTCCAAGGCAGAAACGGCAGGTGGGAGGACAGAGCAAAAGACAGCTAGCTGTTCACCTCATGGCAGCCGCAAGCTGAGAGAGAAGGAAGAAGCAGGGACAAGAATACACCTTCCAGGTTGGCCTCCTATAGGGCCCTCTTTGGATCAGAGTCTCCTCCTAACAGCACACTCAGCTGTGAACTCATCAGTGACCTATGGTGCCTGCCCCCTGTGGTCTGTCAATCTCTACTCACATCTGTGTTGTTTAGGACTAAAATGTCCCCCAAAGTCTCGTGTACTCAGAGTGTCTTTGTAGGTGACACTAGCTGTAAATGGTGTCATTGTTCTTGAGTGAGAAGCTTTGCATCTTGACTTTTTGTACTTCAGGTGCAGAGCCACAGAGAGAGGATCACAAGGAGGCATGAAGTGGCCTTCTGGGAGTGGCCCACTCTGTGGGCACCTGAGGTAATTTTAGGTCATCACTTCCACTCTGTATCACGTAAAACTGTAGACTTGGAAAATCATCAGTGCCCTCTGATCTAATCACCTTCCCAAAGCCCCAACTCTGAACCCATGAGACTTGTGGGGGACATTTTAGACCTAAACCGAAACAGCAGACAAGTAAGTGAAGAATGGCAGAGGACAGAGGGCAGCTACCGTGGGATACAGACAAGGAGGAATACCAGGGCCGCTTCTGTCCCGAGAAGCTTTTGAACCAGAAAGCAGTATTTGAAAACCAAGGCTCCAGTAAGTTTCCTGGCAAGCCCTGGAGCCCTGGTGTCTACAGACTACCCTGTGACCCACATCTTTGGTTTCATCTACCAGATGCTGAGGTCTGGAAGAGCCTGGGTGCACACAGTTGGGGACACCAAGTCATGGGGAGGTGAATGGCTTGCCCAGAATCAAGCAATGCCTCAGAGCCAGCTCCAGTATCCTGACCCCTTTGCCCAGACTAGCTCTTTCCAGGACAGTGATGCTGGTTCATCAAACCCCTGCTGATGAAGGAGACAGGCACCCAGGCTGGGCATGCATGGCTGTTGTCTTCCCACCAATGAGAACCTGTCTCCTGCCCTCTGCTAACGGGCACCAGGAGGTTTTGTGGATCCGGGGGACTCTGGCCACCCATGTCCTCATCAGCCCCCATCCTTACAACCTTCAGTCATGTCCCTGGACTTTTCTTGCTCAACACAGCCTCAGTAAGTACAAAGGAAATGTTCTGCACATGGGGCGTTTGGCACATGGGTGGGTGACCGATGACAGCTTCGGGAAGCTCCAGATGGCTGTCGTGTAGACAAGCCGTCACAGGGTGTCTTCGTTCTTCTCCGAGAGGACTCTGTGCTGTGACTCCCTGTACTCCCGCAGGAGCAGAGCAGCACGGAAGATGAATGCAAGGAGGGAGGAGGTGGCCTTCTGGGAGCGGCCAGTTCTGCAGGTGAATGGGTTTAAATCATTTGGTACCATGTAAAACTGCAGAATCTGGGAAGAAACTCAGAGACCATCATAGCTAGAACCTCATTTCACAGAGGAGGAAACTGGGGCCAGAGACAGGAAATGATGACAGCCAAGTGGCATTGCTGGTAAATAGTTAACGGTGTTGGATTCAAACACGGGTGTGATATTGTGATATAATAAAAAATACGTGTGCATCTGGCCTTTGCCCCTGGTTCCTGGCACCAGAATGCTAAGATTGGGGTTTGTATGCTAACGAGAACAGTAGTGGCTGGGAGCCCCTAGGTGGTTTCAGGACAGGGCCTGGTCACCGTAGTGACCAAGTCATGATTAGAGGGTTTTACTTTTAGCCACATCCCCCCGTCTTTGGGGAGCAGAGTTGAGCTGAAGGCTGAGTTGGTCACCGGTGGCTGCCGACATAATAAAGCCTGCCTGTGTAATGACACCTCCATAAAACCCCCAAAAGACTGGGTTCAGAGAGTTTCTGAATAGAGGACCATGTGGAGGTTCCCGGGGGGCAGGGTCCCTAGAGAAGGCATGGGAGCTCTGTACCTCTTCCTATGCATTTCTCCAGCCGTATCTCTTATAAAATCTTCCTGTTAGGAAGGACATGGGACTCTTGATCTAATATCCTTTATAATAGACTGGTAAATGTAAGTAAAGCACTTCTCTGAGTTCTGTGAGTTTCTAGACAAATGAATTAAACCCAAGGAGTATAGTGGGAGCCCCCAACTTACAGGGAGAGGGTCAGAAGCACAGGTTGTAACCTGGGGCTGAGCCCACCATCAGAAGCGGGGTACTGAGCCCCCAACAGGTGGGATCTGACACCATCCCCAAGTAGGCGGTGAATGACAGGAAGCCCAGTTGGAGCCCGCCGGAGAATTACTGGGGGGAGGATGCATGAAGAAAACCTCACCCATCTGATCATAGTTCTGCCCTGCAATGAAAAAACTGCTTTCTATTCAGACCAGGTCTCTTGGAAAGTTTGTTCTTTTCTAAGAACAGAATTGAGGCTTGGTCTCTTGACTTCAGATACATTTTGAAATTTATGAAGCCATTACTTCTTTTAAAAAGTAATCTATTCTATATATTCCTAGAAGTATGCTGAACACTGCGAAATGAATTCAATAAACACAGTTTCTGCTGTTTGATGTCTGGCTTACAGTTTAAAATTGAGAAATGGACAAAGACAGCAAAGGGGTTTAGTCTTCGACAATGGATAGAATTTGCATTGCTTGACTGGTAATAACGAATGTTAGCTTAGTGTAGTGAGAAAGGCCTGGGCTTGAGAAGACTTGAGTTCAAATCCCATCTCTACTGTTAATTAGCTGTGTGACCTTGAGCGACTACTCAGCCTGTCGGAACCAAAAATTCCCTGCAGATAATGATATTTTTGAGGAATGCTGTAAAGACTGAAGAGATGTCTGTAAAGGACGCAGTACCACACTGGAGCATAACAGATGCTTAAATAATGGTAAGGCATCTCATTATCTTAGGGACAGACAGTGCAAGGCACAGAGGTGGCAAGAGCCCAAGGCACGGAAACCGGGGAAGAGATTTACTTACCTACCTGTCTTTGGCTACAATAACAGCAAAAACTCCTCATGTTTGCATTTTTCTTTATAATTTGCAGATTGCCTTGAGAGACAAAGCATTTTCAGGTGTATCTCACAGGCTACCACGCATTCATTCATATTTACTCCGTTTAAATTTATTGTTCCAGGCACATTCTAGCTGATGAGGCTATGGTGATTGTATTAGTCCACTTTGCTTTAATATAACGAAATACCTGGGGCAGGCTGATTTAATAAAGAAAAGAGGTTTATTAAACTCGCAGTTCCGGAGATTCAAGGGCAGGGCACGGGAGCTGGCTGAGCTGAGGGGAGAGCCTTGTACCTCAATGGCAGGAGCATGTGTGGGAGGAGGTGCAAGACGGTTTTCAACACACCTTGCTCTCCTGAGGGCTCCGGGGCTCTGTGAGGTCTACTTCCTGCAGCAGCGCCTGAGGGCCTCCATGAAGGCTGCAGCTAACAGAGGCCCCGCAGCCTCCCAGCATCACCACAAGAGGAGGACTGAGCTGCCGACACACAGACCCCTGGGGACACTGCGGCCACAGTGCACAACCAAAGGCGGGTAGGTGATGCAACGGCCTGGCTCTGGCTATGGATTCTCCGAGCTGGTATGTTTTCGGGCCCTCTCGTCTACTAATTCGGGAAAGGTGCAAACACCCAAAACATCCAGAACTTCGTGGTGAAGAAAGGCAGTCATTAAGGGGGATACTGTGTGCTGACTCATCCCATGACTCTGCAGTACCGGGGCAGGGTCGGGTCACCTAGAGAGGCCTCTTTCCTTGATGTCCCTTCCAGACTTGGCTCGCGGGGGCTCATTCCCGCAAGACAATTGCTTCTGGGCTGCCGCTCTGGGCTCCGTGCCAGGCAGACGCTGGCGCTCACCCAGTCAGAGCCACAGTGCAACCAACAGAAGACAGGACAGGTGCTGCATGTCAATGACAAGAGAGGGGACAGAAAACACTCGGCACTGCTGGGCTACAGGGCTGGAGCAACCTGCTGAGACCCTGCCCGAGAGAGCATGGGTACGAAGGGGTGCAGCTGGGAGTCTGGGCAGAGACCCAGTGACCGCACCTGCCCAGGGACAGAGGAAGAGGCGTGCATGTCGGGGCTACGTGTCCAGCATGGCTCTGTGAGCGTGGGTGCGGCATGGGTGTGTGCTGTGTGTTGTGCGAGTGGTGGGTGTGAATGTGTGTGTGAGCTGTGTACACCCAAGATGCAAACAGAAAGCAGAGAGGCCGATGCCACAAGCCACAGACAGAAACTTCCCAGGTGAATTCGCTCTGCTGGAACCTGTGTGCCTGCCGCATGTAGAACTGGTATGTGTGTCTTGTTTGGTGCTCTGTGTGTTTAAAAGTAGGCACGTGAAGATGTGTCTAGATCGTGCACTCGTGAGTGCTGAGGGTTATTATGGCCTCAGTGTTGCTGTCTACCCAAAATGCACACGTATGGATCAATCCCTAATGTGACTAAGGAACCTTTGGGGGACAAAACTTATCAAGCCCCTCTGACCCCAAGCCGCCACACTTCCACACCAGGCTCCACCACCAGGAGGAAGTCCTGACCCACGGGCTGGGCGATGCAAACACTGTCATAGCCTCCCTCACTCTGTCCCTCAAAGAAACGGCCCACAGCTGAAATGGACCGGTTCGTACTGGCTCCACTCTGCAGAGCTGTGACACAGACTCCTCGGCCCACCAGGGGCCAAAAGGGACTGTGCACAAAGCCCAGACAGCTTCTTCTCCACCCTGTCGTCCACTGCAAGCCGCTTACCCTAACAGGTCCTCTGCT